GTGGCCAAACTTGCTTAGCTTAGCATTAGAGAGGATAGTGGGGAAAGTGGGATAGCAACACATAACTGCAACCTGTTGGGTTGCATCTTTCAGTATCTTTCTGTACTTTTCTCTCTGGAACCAAATGAGTAGCCACATTCTTCTGTAAGACCAACACAGCTGTTGTGAAATTGCTTACACCAATTTGTCAGATCTCCAAACTTGTGCATATGACCTGCTCATTCCATTGAACAGAAACATATGACATGAGTGTCATATGAGTGTCATGCTGAAAGCTGAGCCAAAGGGGAAAGGGCCCCACAAATGAAACAAAGATTGTGCTCTTGGTACAGGATTACTCAGAACCTGCTTGCTTGTTTCTGCAGAACGTGTGCTCAGTTATAGCTTGCCTGCTATAGTTTGAAGTGTGTGTGTGTGTGTGTGTGTGTGTGTGGCCTCTTCTGCTATTGTAGTAATTAACATATTGAGCTGTGAGTTTTTAAGTGGTCAGGTATGAAACCATTAAGTGGCCTTGGAGAAGGCACTGTTCTCAATCACAATCTATATTTATAATTATTGATGGCTTCATATCATCTTGGACATTATTGGAGCAAGCCTGACCATGAAGCTCCTACAAAAAGTACTGTGTTTCTCTAAGACCAGGCATCCTCAAACTGCAGCCCTCCAGCAGTTTGAGCCTTCATCTTCCAGAATTCCTGACAATTGAACAAGCTTATTAGGTCTTCTGGGAGTTAGAGGCCCAAACAACTGAAGAGCTACAGTTTGAGGATGCCTGCTCCCTTCTCTTTGTTTTTGAGATGTTGATAAGAGATCCTAACATCCGAGATTCTGTTGTATTTATTTATCGTGTCATCAGCAACCATACCATTGTATTACATGTCTAACAGAACAAAATAGACAAACAGATTTAAAAAAAACCCACAGATTTTGCAAACTTCGTAGTTGATTAAATGTCCTTTGACCAGTATCTGGCCACTTGGAGTGCCTCTGGTGTTGCCGCAAGAAGGTCCTCCATTGTGCATGTGGCAGGGCTCAGGGTGCATTGCAGCAGGTGGTCAGTGGTTTGCTCTTCTCCGCACTCGCATGCCGTGGATTCCACCCTGTAGCCCCATTTCTTAAGATTGGCTCTGCATCTCATGGTGCCAGAGCGCAGTCTGTTCAGCGCCTTCCAAGTCGCCCAGTCTTCTGTGTGCCCAGGGGGGAGTCTCTCATCTGGTATCACCCACGGATTGAGGTGCTGGGTTTGAGCCTGCCACTTTTGGACTCTCGCTTGCTGAGGGTGTTCCAGCGAGTGTCTCTGTAGATCTAAGAAAACTATGTCTTGATTTAAGTTGTTGACGTGCTGGCTGATACCCAAACAGGGATGAGCTGGAGATGTCTCTGCCTTGGACCTTTCACTATTGGCTGCTACTTCCCGGCGGATGTCAGGTGGTGCAATACCGGCTAAGCAGTGTAATCACCCTGTTATAATGCAGCATGTCTCATTAAGAGCCACATCCACTGTTTTAGCGTGGTGAGATGTGTTCCACACTGGGCATGCGTACTCAGCAGCAGAGTAGCATAGCGCAAGGGCAGATGTCTTCACTGTGTCTGGTTGTGATCCCCAGGTTGTGCCAGTCAGCTTTCGTATGATGTTGTTTCTAGCGCCCACTTTTTGCTTGATGTTCAGGCAGTGCTTCTTGTAGGTCAGAGCACGGTCCAAAGTGACTCCCGGGTATTTGGGTGTGTTGCAATGCTCCAGTGGGATTCCTTCCCAGGTAATCCTCAGAGCTCGGGATGCTTGTCTGTTCTTAAGGTGAAAGGCGCATGTCTGTGTTTTAGATTCTGTTGTGACATGATGTGATGGGAGTTGCAAGCTAGAAATATCTGGAATGTAGTCCTCCTGCTGGTGTCAGGCCACAGCTCTCATCGGCCAATGGCAAAGAATGATGAGAGTTGGATCCCACACCTGGGAGGCTATATATCCCCTTTCTTGCTTTACACAATGGTTGATAGAATTGGGGTTAGGGGAGAAAAAGAGATTATGTATGTTCCTTTTCTGTGTCCTTAAATGTGCATAGTTATGTTTCTCTTCATTGCAGCTCTTCAAGTTAAGTGTAGGACTTGCAATGTGAGGACAGTGAAGGGTAAAACTATTTAGGCAACCCATAAACTTGAGGAAACCATGGTAACCTAGAAAGCTGTGTTCTCTCTGCTGCCCAGAAGATGGCAGCACAAATACTTCAGACTTAATCAAAAAAGCAGGATTTTCTTCTGAAGTTTTGTCAAGTTCTGAGCTCATCTAAAGACAGCTGGAAGGAATCCACTGGGATATCATCTTCTGGATACATTGATTGGAATGGAACTTCTACCAAAATTGGAATTTATTTATTTTTATTTTATTTTATTTACAACATTTATATGCCACCCTTCTCACCCCGAAGGGGACTCAGAGCGGCTTACAAGTAAAAAGTAAATACAATATATTATATTATTATCATAGCACGATATTAATATTATATATTGCATTGTACTATAACATTATACTGTAATATTATTAGTAATATTACATTTAATATAATTAATATTACATTAGATTGGTTTTATTGATTGTGATGTATAATTGATTGTTTTAATTGTTTTATAATTGCTGTTGATATATGTTTTTAATTTATTGTTTGTGTTGGCATCGAATTGTGCCTTTTGTATGCCGCCCTGAGTTCCCCCTCAGGGATTGAGAAGGGCAAGGTAGAAATGCATGAAATAAATAAATAATAAATAAAATAAATATAAAATATATAATTATAATAGCATTTTATTAGTAGTAGTATATTGTATTACATTATAATATTATCAATATTATATGTATATACAATATATTATATTATATTACATTATAAGCACAATGCTTATAATAAAATGAAACTTTTTATGGAACTTCTACCCCCAAGAAGGCCCAGGATGTGTGTGTTTTTTTTTACCCTCCCCATTTTGTATTCAATCTGTACCTAAATAACTTTGTGTCTGATGGGATGGGGAGGAGCAGGGAGGGTATAAAAAGAAGGGTTGAAACACTATGTAGAGAGAGTTGGGGGGGAGAGAAGGGGTCTACATTGTTAATTGCAGCAATAATATGTTTCACGCTTAGGTCTATGCTTGATGTTTTTATAGTTTTAATGGTTATTTTCTACAGTTATATGTTATTGATTTGGATATGTGATATTTTTGAATATATGTGAGGCATTGAATTTGCCATTTATTATGTTGTAAACCGCTTTGAGTCTCCCTAGGGGTGAGAAAAGCGGTATAAAAATGCAGTTAATAAATAAATAATAAATAATAGTATTTTTAAAATTATTTTATCGTGTCAGAAGCGAGTTGAGGATACAGTTAAGATGCATTTAAAAATACAAAATTTAAAAAAGAACCTGGTATTGTGCTAAATGTTCTTTGACCAGAAGTTGGCCATTTGGAGTGCCTCTGGTGTCGCTGTGAGAAGGTCCTCCATTGTGCATGTGGCAGGGCTCAGGTTGCATTGTAGTAAGTGGTCTGTGGTTTGCTCTTCTCCGCAGTCGCATATCATGTACTCCACTATATAGCTCCATTTCTGAAGGTTAGCTCTGCATCTTGTGGTGCCAGAGTGCAGCTTGTTCAGTGCCTTCCAAGTCGTCACTCTTCTGTGTGCCCGCCGAGGAGGAAGTTTCTCATCTGGTCTTAGCCACTGATTGAGATGCTGGGTTTTAGCCTGCCACTTTTGGACTCTCACTTGCTGAGGTGTTCCTGCGAATATCTCTGTAGATCTTAGGAAGCTGTTTTTAAAATGGAATATATTGGAATATAAGAAAAAAAGAAATACTACAAAATAAATAAAGTAGAAATCATAAGATATCAACATACACTAAACATACACATTATATAAATGAACGATATGTTCGTTTGAACTATATGTTCAGAATAAATGTTTTTGTACATAACTAAAGCACTAAGGGTTTCCGACCATTAAATAACGGGCATGAAATGTTTACTTCTCTATACCCACTGAAGTGTTTTTGATGTTGTAGTAATGTTTTCTAGACTTGACCTCATGGGTGACTAAACGATACTTGTCGTACAAACTGATTGGGTTTAATGCCAAAGAAGGCAAACAAGACTTCCAGTCATTGAACCCTGTCAATTTTTGCAAATTTGAGTAAGATCTTGTGCACATTTTCATTTTGTTTGAAAAAGTAACCATAGTCCTCAGTTTTGAGGTGGCATCTTACATTAAAATGAAATAATAGTTTTATAGGCTGATTGGTTAGTAGGAAATGGAAGAGGCTTGCAGAGAAGTAATGATTTTTAAAGCATTACAATTTGAATGGATGGTGGTTATATTGCTAAATATATATTTCTAATCATGAGGGGAAACATGATTTGTGTTATGTGACTTCCTTGGTCAGTCAAGTTTGTTTTTATCTGCAATATTCTCTGTGAAGAGTTAGTTATACAGAGCCATAGAGCTTCCTATGAGTTGTGCTGTGAATATAAAAGTGAAGTGCACACTATTGTTGTCATCTCATACAATATCTTGCCATAGTACAATAGCTGTCAGGACTTACCTTTCACTCTATTCTCCACTAATCAGCACAGAATCTGTGATGAATGTATTTTTCAAGTTTTAGCCTTGCTAAATAAAGCAGGCGGATTTCCCTTTTTTAAAAAATACAGTTGAAGCATTTGCTGCACACCATTGCTAAGAGTTTTATGTAAATATCTAAAACAGTTGCCCAATTTTTTCATGATCCCCACATTCAGTTAGGGAACCCCAAATGGGGAGGTGACCCACAGTTTAATAAGCTTTTCTCTGTAGGAACTATGAAGGGGAAAATCCCATTCTTCTCTGGTGTAGATTTTCAAGGAGGTGCCCCTTTATTTGGGTGTGTGTGTCTCGAGAGACGATATGATATATCCCATCCCCTACCCCCAGTTTATGGGTTGGAGATGCTGTCTAACTTGCTGACATCTGCCCCTCCTGTCACCAGCAGGAACACAGGTTCGAGAAAGCTCTGAGGGAGAAGAAAGGGTTCATCATAAAACAGATGAAGGAAGATGGAGCCTGCTTGTTCCGGGCTGTGGGTAAGTCCTGCCTGCTGGTGGATCATCCTTTTAGAGATTGGACAGCAGATGGCACTAGAAGTGAAACAAACTTCTGTTCTATGTTTCTCTTTGAAGTCCTGCAAAAATTAAGATCCAATATATGTAAGATATTTGGTGAAATATTTATGTATGATACTAGATCTTAGTATTATAGATTTTTATCACTAACTTGATGATCAGTAGGTAGTTCTTGATAACTGTTCTTTGAATGCTGCTAACAAGAGTACAAGGATCTGAGTGCTTGATAGGTATATGAAAGTGGGAGTTGGTGACCAGTACATTAGAAACACCCTCTTCTCCTGAAAATGCTGCTGTTTATAGATCTTGAATCTTCCCTTTTTGGTCACCATTTCCCTTTTCTTTAATCATATGACTAATGGTATCAAAGAAGAAGAAAGGCTGATGAGGGTGAAGGCTGAGTCTTGGGGTTGGCAGCTTCTCAACACATCTGTGTGACCCCCGAACCTTCTCCTTTACACCTTATTTAGAAGGCAGTGGTTGCCAAATTTTATCCCTCTGGTGGTGAGGATTTTTTTCTTCCCATAAGCCCAATTGGTGCATCTGGTTGTTAGAGATTCTAAGAGCTGGGTTTGAACAACATCTTGGGACACAGGTTTGGAACCTGCAGTATAAAAACCTTTGATTTACACTATCATTGTGGTATGTATGAGTCTCTAGTTATCGAACTCATCAGATTTAGATTATATAAGATATGTTCAAAGGTGTTGTGAACTGCAACAGGAAAGTCACATGTTCCCAGGCCTAATTTTAATCTTTAGTTATTGCCCCCTAAGTAATGAAGTCTAAGTATTCATATAAGTTTTTCCTCACAGGTTTTACCTCTTTTTCTCTGTTTCCATAACTCATCTTTATTAACAGTCCAATCTTCATGTTTTGGACTAGCTGACATTTCTGGACCATTTTCAAAGGCAGCCTTGTGAATGGTATTGCATTTTAACAAGTTAAATTGAGTGTTTAAAACAGGGGTCCTCAAACTAAGGCCCGGGGGCCTGATGCAGCCCTCCAAGGTCATTTACCTGGCCCTTACTCAGGCTCAACCTAAGTTGGAAATGACTTGAAAGCACACAACAACAATCCTATCTCATCAGCCAAAAGCAGGCCCACACTCCCCATTGAAATACTAATGTTTATATTTGCTAAAATTGTTCATTTTAATTACTGTATTGTTTTGTATTGTTTTGCACCACAAATAAGATATGTGCAGTGTGCATAGGAATTAATTTCTTTTTTTCCAAATTATAATCCAGCCCTCCAACAGTTTGAGGGACTGTGACCTGGCCCTCTGTTTAAAAAGTTTGAGGACCCCTGGTTTAAAAGATCAGAAATAACTGTCAAACATCTATGAATGTTGTCGTGATTGTTGAGTTTATGTTTACCTGGTAGAAAATGCTTCCAATGACTGAGAGCTGTGATTCTAGTAGCTCTGGATTTATGGATTCCCATAAATGCAGAGTGGGCAAAATGTGCTCCGTGGGCTTATTTATTCAAAGTGACCCCTGATCCCTGCGCCCTCTAGAAATCATAAAGATCAGGTTTGTCTTCCCACCTGTTTCCTTGTAAGTGTGGCTAATGGTAGGGGACTATGAGAGTTGCTGTTCAAAATAAATTGCTGACCAGTAATTCTTTAATCTTTAGATTATGGACCGATTACCTTTTTGAAATGGTTATTGAAAAAACCCTCTTACAATGCACACAGCTCTGTAATTTTTGTAGAAATTGCTGGTTGTAAACTCCCAAGCTCCCCCGCCTCTTTTTTTGGAGAGGAAATGGTCTTTTCCACCTATCACTCCTTTCCCATATCAGAAATGCACTTACTGGAAAGGACAGGAACCTAGTCACTCTTACGAGAAGTAGGCTGTAGTCAAAGCCTACGAGAAGTAGGCTGTAGTTACAGGTAGCAGTGGTGAAGATGCTGACCACTGTTTTACTCATCGTCTGTTTTTCTAAGTGAAACCTCATTTGTACCTAGAAAATATCAGGTCTGTATTACACTCTAACATAGCAAGGATAAATGTGTCAGATTTGCACCATCTATTGTGGTTAAGCATTTCAATTTCAATATATGTAGTAGAGATCAGTCTGACCGCAGTACATGTGAATCAGGAGTACAGCACCAAATGAATGAAGTAAATAAAAAGCCTCTGCTTTGACTAGATATTTGTTGAGTTGATAAAATGGTAAATGTTGATTGAGATTGCAACAGGCCTTTTCCTGTCAGGGGTTTGGGCATGTTTATTTGTCTGTTAACATTTGTTCCCCAAGAGCTTCAGTTCCCTTGGTTTTTGGATTTATTGTCTTCAGCAAAAAGAATCCTGATTTAATAAAGCATACAATATATGCACTTATTCCTTCTTTTCTCCAGCAGGCCTTGTAAGCCATTGTATTCAAAATTTGTGACTTTTGTCAAATATTGCTCAAAAAGTCAGGATTTCTAAACTAATCAAAACTCTTGTTTTAAACTTGGCTTGTGATCATGGTTTGTTTGGATACAAGTAACCAAAAATCCAGGTTTGAACAACACAGTGGTAATTTCCTTGCTTATTCATTTTTTAAGAGAAAGTCTTCTATATGGCCCGTTTATGTTTTTTTGAACTGAACTGTTCACTACATCTCCATCTTGGAAACTGTCGGAGGCATATTTCAGTGTTTCCTTAGAAGCTATGGAGGGTTTTTTTTTTTTAATGAAAGCTGCTGCAAAAATTCCATTCCGCCTTATAGGTTTTGGTGAATAATTGTTTTAAAATCTGTTGACAATTATTGTGCATATGTATTTATTCCTTTTACCTTCCTAACCCTTTTTACTTTAAGCAGACTGAGCCATTGACAAGTGTGTATAGCAAGTGAAGTGGAGAGCACTCACTAAAGATACTTATTTCCATGCCAAACTGTCCATAGGCCTGCTAATTCCATTACTGGTCTTAAATAAAAGCAGCCAGACCTTGTATGTTAGTAATAAATATAAATATCTTTGGGTGTCCCTTAAATTTTACAGTAGAAGTGTGAAACCCACAAAGTCAGTTAGGTGGAACCAATCACCCATTGCTACATAATGACTGCCTGACCAGGATTGCATCTCCCTCTATGAACCGGCACAGACACTAAGATCCACTGGGGAGACCCTCCTCTCGCTCCCACCACCGTCTCAAGCCTGGTTGGTGGGGATAAGGGAGAAGGACCTTCTCAGTGGTGGCCCCCTGCCTCTGGAATGCCCTCCCCAAGGAGATAAGGCTGGCCCCATCCCTCACCTCCTTCCGTAAGAACCTGAGGACTTGGTGGTTTCATCAGGCCTTCGATAATGACTAGTCTCAAGCCTTTGGTCCAACAGTTAGGACTTGGCAGAACTGGTTTTAAATTGATTTTAATGTATATGTTGTGTTAATAGTTTATGCCTATGTTTTAGTTTTATATTGTATGTTTTTGTATTATTTTACATATGTGGAAACCGTTCCCTAGGGAAGATAGGGCGGTATATAAATAAAGTTTATTATTTATAGGAAGGCACAGTTAGGAAATAAGGACATCTGTGATTGGCTCTCTCCTCCCATGCAAAAGTGGGTTTTTGTATTTAATCAATCTATGGATAAAGTCCTGAGAGCAGCTGCTGTAAAGAGAATCTGAGCCATGTCAAACTAATTTTGTACAAGTCGAACTCTGCAACAAAATCTTGTGTGCAAGTGCTTCTTTTTAAGGTTCCAATAATTCTCATCCATACTCCCTCACTCGAGGGTTTGTTTTTTTTTTATCTGTGTCACTCAGTATTCTCTGCCACTGAGTTTGCTTGGCCCCTGTTTGTCTGCTTTGATAAGTTCCTCTTTCCCTTCTATTTGTATGTTTTATTTTTGTTTTCATTCAAGATTTGGGTTTGTTTGGCTCTGCACACACTTGTGCACTAAAAGAACCAGATCCTGGCTGAGTTTAGATCCAAACAGGGCCAGCTCTGGTTAATCTCAGCTCAGCTCTGGTTAATCTCATATTTCATAAGAAGGAACTGGGAAAATAACCTGTGAATTTCCTGCCTAATTCATGGAGATACGTACATATAGAGAGAGTTGTTAAAGCACCCATGAATATACATGGTTCTTGACATATTGCTAGATTTTTAAGAAATCAGGGTATTTCATAATTTGTTGATGGAATGAAGGAGTTTACTACATTTTGACTCACCATCTAACAATTGATTGAATGGGTCTACTCTTGTTTGGAGTAGCCAACAGGATGCCAGTCACCGGATTTAACTGAATTGTTGTTAGACTGCTGTATGCATTATGGACTCAATCTCCTCTATCAATATTACTTTTTATTATCATATTTGAATTTGATTTTTTTTGCTGTTTTCATGTCATGCATCCCCCCTCCCCTAATATTCTTGCACTATTTTCTTCCTGAGTGAGTAGTCATTCGTTATTGTGCTCAGCAGAGGGCAGTGTAAGGTTTACACCTCAACTTTCTGCTGTATTCAGCTGTAGTTCAGAGATAAGGCACTCCATAGAACTTTTTATGGCACACCCTGCTTTTACTGACTCAGCATATGACAGTTCTTGGAGAAAACATGACATTGCAAATTGTCTTGTGATACTGCTCTTTTGAGAGAAATGGGACTAGGCCAAGGATCAAGAGCAGATATTTTTATGCTATCCAACCCCTTGTCAGTTTTGTGTGGGTAGTGGGTGATTATGTAGAAAAGCCTTGAGGCTACTGCAAATAAAACAAACCTTGTATATGTTACATATATAGGCACCAGGCATGTGAAAGTGTTTCAGACAAATATAAATAATTTCATTTTTGCTTTAATGCATGTAATGTCCATTCCTAGGGTGGGAATGATGGAGCCACCAGCATGGCTACTGGTGAGGTATAGTGGAAGGACTACACATTCTTCATTCCTGAGTTACCATGTTTAATCTTACTACACCAGAGCTTTGAAAAATTACTTGTTCACACTGTACTGACAGAATCCT